CAATCCATCTTTGCCTTCAGCCTTTAAAGAAATTATGTTTTAGTTCTGGTTTCATCAACAGAAGGCGCCATTAGCTTTTCTCCTGTCCAGCTTTTTTGTCTTATCTTTACCTTATCTCGTTCAGTTGCGCTTTTGCAGCTGAGGATGATGGTTCGGTAAAATCATCGAAACTAGTCCTGTGAAAATTTGAAAATATAACGCTGATTTTTGTTGTTTGACTTCTAAATTAACATTATAATGTATTTTCTCCCTACCCCAGCATGCCTTCGTGGTGTAACGGTAGCACACTCATAACGTATTTGAGAGGTCGAGGTTCGATTCCCGACGACGGTACTGCTCATATTTCACGTCTAAAGGCTTAAAAAACTAAGGTGCCCGAACTAAAGGGTGGTGGACGATGATTCTTCACCACCAAAATTTGGCGTTTGGGTCTCCTGATCCCCAGTGATCCTTTTAAAGGGGAGTATATAAAGTATTTTCTCCCTCCTTTCTGCATGCCTTCGTGGTGTAACCGGTAGCACACTCGGCGCGTATTTGAGAGGTCCAAGTTCGAGTCCCGGCATTGTTCATGTTTCATGTCTCCTGCTTTAAAATAACCTAGTGACTCTACAACATAACAAACGAATACAGTGGAATGCTTAATGAGACTGTGTTCCATGATCGTATGAGAAGATATTAGAGAGAGAGAGAAGGAATATTTGCACAAGATCTCTTGAAACCTCTTGCGGCAGATTAGTTCACATAATGGTATTAGATCTGACAAAAACTTTATAATTAAAACTCATTTTATTTGTAATTATTAAAATTAATTTATTAATAAAAAGCATTTCTTCTTCTGCAATTGAAATCGAAAAATGTTCAAAAGCCATACACATATAACTGTTGATTAATAGGTACCTTACATTTTCAAATTTCAATATATTTCCTCTAATTTATAACTCATTTATTTGATTATGAAATAAATCCGAGTTTCAAATACTTTAAAGTAATTTCGCTTAAAATGTAAAACCTAATATGAATGAAAATAGCATTGATTACTCTGGATTAAGCTCCGCTCAGATGGTATAGTGGTTATGGGAGCCGACTGGATAACGTACGGCCCGGGTTCGAATACTGGAAAAGGCATGACTGTAACTGTCCGTCCCCCCTTCATATGAGGCAAAGAGGGCCCACCTATTAGCTGCCTCCAGAATAAAGTGACCACCACTTCTGGCCTCAGTTGTGGCCAAGCCGAAGTCGGCTGAGTGCCCTCCATTGGTTTAAAAAAAAAAAAAAACTCTGGATTAAGCAGAAGAGTGAGCTATGAGTAAACAGGTTGAATAAAAGTCTCAGGCCCACATTTTATAACTAGCATCACAGACCGTTAAGAGGGAACGAAGCTGCTATTCCCAGACCCTAAACTATAGCCTTTGTACCAATGCAAAGTACACGAATAAGCATATTCTGAAGGCACAAGAAATAAATTTACATAAGACTAGTAACTGGTAGCAAATAAACTAGAGAAGAGCAAAAATAATTTAAGTTTGATGATATAGCAATAGTTGCTTTCTTCATCTGTTTATCTAATTGGTACCAATTTTCAATTTTCAGATTTAAAGTATTTTAAAATTGCTGGTATGTTCTCAAGCTTTAATTGCTGGTATGTTCTCAAGCCTTAATTGCTGGTATGTTCTCAAGCCTTAATTGCTGTATGTTCTCAAGCCTTCTTGATCAGAATCTTAAATGCACTCATTTTCTAGAAATTTCCTTATACTTTTGGTTTTACTTTTTGCCCTGTCTTAGAAATTAAATGATTATTCAAGCTAATCCAATGGTTGTTTCAGAGAGTTATTCTCGCGTACTAATAGAAACCATATTCACTCCCTCTATCAATCTTATTAATTAACATTATAATACATTTAACGAAGTAATTGGCTGCTATAGTTCTTTTCATAAGTTCACTTCTTTGCGAAACTATTTTAAAATTGGTAAAATTGTTTCTTTTTCACTTTCAGCGTGATACATTATTCATACTTTCCTACCAAGCAAAGCGCTATTCTTGAGAACAATAACTCAAATCTTTTAATTCGTGTTAAAATTATCATATTTTAAAAATTTTATATACTAGTATAATTTATAAGTATAAATTGTTAAATACTAAATAAAATATGTCTTCGATTTTCCCTTCATTAACGATGTAAGTTGAAAGTGTACCTTTCTACTTTTAAATGTTGAATACATATTGAGAAATTTAACTACATTTCTGATGATAGAATTTGAGTTCAGAATAGTCTCTAAAAAAGCTCCTTAAACTGTCTTGATAGTTTTGTGAATTTGTAATCGAATGTAATTACTATTTTTTAACAAAATAAGCAGTTTTTTCCTTACAACCACCGAGGTTTGGGACTGTCCCGCTTTTGGACTTAGTGACTGCGCTTTTCTATACTTTTCATCGCACTCATAAACGTTAAATATCTGATATTCCAAAATAACTATCAGTAGCATACATACGAATTACGAGCATATCGTTATTTAGGGTATCCGTTGACCTTCGTAGACTAACATTATCGTTATCTTATTTTGTGATAGGAAGCAGTGACAGACAGGATTTCAACGCATTCGTTTATGCAGGAGTAATACTCCGTGGTTTAATGGCTTCTGTAGTGTTTTCAGTTAGTGATCACAATGTTAAACTGCGAATATAGATTCAGGGATATTTACTGTACATTTTTGTAATGCAACAGGTCGAATGCAAAACTATTAATATAGGACTTCTTCAACTGGCCTTGGCTATTTAACTGGCTTTGACTGCTAATTAGGTTAGTTCAAAATCTAACGGCAGATGAATAAGCTGCTAAAGTAACTATATTTCAAATTATTATTACATTTATTCATAGCCTATGAATAATAAAAGATTGTTCTTACCAACTAAAACTCTAAAATGATTTTATTTTCAAATTTAGTAACATATCGTTACTTTATATTAAGAAACATTGTCTGTTTCTCGGTATACAATTGATGAAGAAGTAGAAAATGTCCTTTAAGCATATTTTTAACCTAACTTTCAAAATTTCCTTCGAAAAATTGTAAATCTGCTGTAAAATTTTCATCCCCAGCTGAGAAGTAATGAAGACTAAAATTTAAAATTTAAACTTTAACGATTTAAACTCTTAAAATACAATACTCAGCTACGAAACATGTTATCGTGGAATATTTTCCAAGTAAATAGTATAGTAAAGCTATAAATTGGGTGATGTTTCAGAAAAACTAACTATTTCTAACTTATTTATTGATTACAACGCACAAGCAATCAACATTATTATAATTATGATTAACAATATGAAAGCATTTTTTATGGAACCACCGTTAACCGTTATCTTAAAACCTTTTCTCAGATGGGAAAAAAAAAGATAAAAATTCAAATCAGGTATGAAACTTGAAACAAAGTGCTCATTGTTTAGCTTGAGACAACTAATGTTTACGTTGGAAATGTAATTGTTCGTAAAATCTGATTTATGTTTGCCTAGCGTAAAAAATACGAAATATTTTAGGGTATGCGGCATAAAATAAGTCGCAGATTTTTCAATTTGTCATTTTGATCCACAAAATTAGATTAAACCATTCTATAATATTTATACAGATTTGTCAAAAAACACGTTTAGTTACGTAAATAAGCTCCACCATGTCCTCTCATTTTAAAAGAACATTTCGATTTTTATGTTTAATCTTCGCTGAGTTCTTCCTAGCTTTCCTATTTGCTAGAGTTAATTATATCTTTCCCTAGAATCATATGCTAACAATTTCACTGCATATTTCTGAGATATGTGAAGACATTTGACAGATACTGGAAAGAGATGTTTGACGAGTTCTAAGATGCGAATTTCGTCACTGGGGAGCTCCTTTCTCTGAATATTCGTCAAACAAAGTTAACTATTCTCCTAATGTCTGTACATCAATAGATAATATGACCGAAGCTACAGGGCAATTTATTTCCACAAATTATCGACAGATGATAATCCCTAACATGTGTTATTCCCTATGAGTTCTAAAATTAGAAATGTTTGAGTAAAGCTGAAAAACCGCCCAGACGATATGTTTAAACGAGCCTGCAGCGGTACCGAAGGGCCTAGGCTCGAATACTGGAGAACGCATGGTTGCAGCTGGCCGTCTTCATAAGAGACAATTGATGCCTCCAAAATAAAATGGCCACCACCTCTGGTCTTAGGAATAGCGAATGCTGAATAGGCAAATGCCAGCCCTGAGATTTAAAATAAAAATAAGTAAAGCTGAAAAAGCATACTAGGGATCAAGTAGATAAGATTACTGAAAAATGGTATTTCGACCAATTTTAAATCCTGAAGAATGTATTACTGTATTTACTCGAATATTTCCCCCCCCTTTTTTTTTTATTAATTTTATTGTACAGAAAGCGAGAAGATAAAATTACGCAAATAATTTAATTTCCAAAGGACGCGGTTACAATAAGAACATAACAAAAGAAAAGTATTCATGGATAAACTGCCATTAACTATAATGATATTATTGATTTAAAAGAAACCTACATTCCAGTAAAATTACACAGTAATACTCAAATAAGATTGGAGAGTAATTTTAACATTAGCCATACCTAATAAGACATATTTATTTCTAAATTCCTGTACCTTGAATCTCGCTCGCTCTTATATTTGTCCACTGCTACTCCTTAGTCCTCCAATCCTTTAATGCTGCTCGAACTGCCCTTTGTTACATCTACCTTGCACGTCATCACCATCGTCCCCCTTTCCATTGTCTTCGTCACTGTTCAGTCTCTGTTCCCAAGTGCATCTTTAGAATTCTGATCATTAGAACCATCTTGAGTCTTAGTTATCTCGTTTTCTTGAAACTCTTCACTGTTGTTGTTTCATCAATCAGAACTCATGCTCTCAAAATCCAAGAGCAAATCAATTAGTAAGATGAAAACAATCACTATTGGAATTAATCCAATTTAAAATTTAATTTCCTGAAAGCTTTGAGGAAGGAGGCCATTGCATGAATATTTAAAAAGTCAAATGCAGAACCTTGTGCGAACAGGCTAAGGGATAAAATATAAGAATAAATACAGTAACTACATGAGCGGTTTCGTGGATTTCACTTTAACTTGACTACGACGTAGTTTCTCTTAGAAAGTCCTCGACAAAGGCAGCTTTCCCTAGTGTTCTTTTCAAAGGGCTGTTTAAGGAAAGTGACTAAATAATAACCGACTAAAAAATACACAAATAAACCTGAAGACAAATACAGCTACAGAGAGATTTGCCCCAAAATTTTGAGCTAAAGTACATTGCTGGCCATTAAAATTGCAACACCAGGAAGGAATAACCTGACGAATGTCAAAATCATATGGAAGGAAGAAGAGGTAGGGATATGCAAATGACTAGTATTTATTTATGCCTCGAATAAGAAGAAGAAATGCTTAGCAGCAAATGTCGGAATTCTATAGAGGCAGGATCGTTGCCTATCGAGAGTGTGGATCATCATTCCGTGATATCACCCATCGCACTGGTCGACATCCAACTACTGTCATGCGAATATGAAATCAATGGCTTGCTGAGGGTCATACTGAACGGCATACAGAATATCAACTCCCTCCTATGACTAACGCTCAAGAGGACAGCCATATTGTGATGTCAGCCCTGAAAAACCGTACAACCACATCATGGACCATTAATCAGGAAATGGGCGTGTTGCAGCACGCCCAGTATCCGCTCGTACAGTGCGTCGCCGTTTGCAGTAGCGTGGACTATCAACACGGCGACCATTACTTCGTCTTTCCTTGACAATGGAGCATAGAGAGAGATGGCGATTCTGGTGCGCCAAACAACAAAGCTTCATACAGGAGTGGCACAATGCCATCTTCAGACGAGTCCCGGTTCTGCGTGCAGTACTCTGATGGCCGTATACGTATCTGGAGGCTCCGAGACGACCGCAAGGGGCTCTGCACCTGGTATGATGGTTTGGGCAGCCGTTGAGTACACGACATGCACATCTCTGGTTCGAATCAACAGTAATTTGAACGTAGATCGGTGCATTTCTGACGTTTTGCATCCAATGGTTGTGATCTTCGAGGCCTGCCAAACGCCACCTTCCAACAAGATAATGCAAGACCACACATTGCACGTCGTGTTCTGACCTTACTTCATACACAGAGTATTCGATTGCTGCCCTGGCCTGTACGGTGTCTACATCTGTCACCCATTGAAAACATCTGGTCATAGGTTGCTGAGAGACTGACCCGCTACACCTCTCTAGATAATACGGTTGATGAAGTGTGGCATGGACTTGAAGCAGCACGGAATGAGTTTCCCATTTCTGTTATCCAGGCCCAGTTCGACTCCATGCCTAAACGGGTAAGGGCCGTTTTTGCTGCCAGGGGTGGCAGTTGTTTCTACTAATTTTGCTCTACTGTAAACCCCCAAACTGCTTACAAATTTAATCATTTTGTCTTTATGCCATACTGTTTACGTACAATAAATACCTTTTTTGTATTTGCTTTCCTTCAAGGTGTTGCAATTTTAGGGGGACTCATACACCTTAAAACCCATAAGATCTTCGAATAGGTGACTGTTGCAAGAATTGGGATAACTTATTTATTTTAAAAGCAATTACTTCGAACGTTTTACAGCTGACTACATAATATAGCTGCTTTCTGAAATAGTAATCAGAAAGTTTGGGTTGCCACAAATATTTTTATAATTTAATCCGCTTTGTGACAACATTTTTCGTCATTTTTCCACCTTGCGCGCACAGTTTAAGACATTCTGTTGCATAATTTAATTCCATATTTAATATATAGCTTTTATAACATTTGGAAACTACTGTGAACCTAAAATTCTAAAAATTTCACGTTACATTTTTATTTTATTTTGAGTTTATAAAATGTATTTTATTAAAATATTTGTAATGTTTTCGTCCATAAAATTTTTCAATATTAAATATTCATCAGATTTTTGGTTCAGTTAGAAAATAGTGCCCATATAAAAAATTCCATCGAATTTCAAGCATGTACCATCAGCCATTTTTAAAATATCATGCGCGCAAGGTGGAAACATGGCGAAATATTTTGTCACAAAGAGGATTAAATTACAAAATTATTTTTGGCAATACAAACTTCCTGGTTACTAGTTTCCAAATCAGCTATATTATGTAGTCAGCTGTAAAAGGTTGGAAGTAATGGCTTTTAAAATAAATAAAATATCCCAATTCTTGCAACAGTCACATATTCGAAGATCATAAGGGGTTTAAGGTGTATGAGCCCCCTAAATGGCCAGCAGTGTAGCAAGAGAATCGAATCAAATCGAACAGCTTATTGCCGGGGATATCGCTAAGTTAGCGACGTGTCCTGCTCAATAAATTACTGTCTTATAGGTCCCTAAGGTGGGAAAAGCATCAGCAGTAGTTTCGCGCATAAGAAAAATTTGGCATAGGTTTAACAAGGAGGAGAAACAATTTTCTCTGGTTTTTAAAATTTAAAATCGTAAATAGGGAAAACAGTCAGAACAAGAAATATGAGTAACAAAAGAAAGTTCGAAAAGTATCAAAACGTAGCAAGCAGTGTCAAATATCACGTAATTTTTGTGACGTCATAGGTTTTGTGAACTCACATAACCTCTAAAGGCGTCACAAATTCAGTTCTCTTGTGCCGAAAGTTATTGACTGTAATTTGATTCTTGTTGGTTTACTCGCGTATATTATATTTGAGGAAAATCTTGAATTCCCTTTACTAATTTTCCATTGTTTCAATCTCCATTTCTTCTTTTAGTTAATTCTCAGTTAATTTAAGTAATTATTTCTCAGTTAACTTGATAATATCTGCTTTCTCCCGTTTGGATTGTTTACATTATTATACTAATTCTTTTGAGTTCGTGGTATGTATATTTTTCTTTTCATGTCCTCAGTTCACATTCACATAGCTTGCAACAAGATTTTGTTTAATCTGTTTTCATTCTTTTTAACTAATCCTCAAACATAGGTATTTTAAGCCAAGTATTTCAAAAGATAGAGCTGAATTTTTCACCTTTATCATAATTCATATTTTAATTAACACAGCAGTTGTAACCTGACTGCGAGGACTCCTACTCACAGATTATCAAAATATTAAACAAAGCAATGGATCACACATATAGAAACGCCAGTCGTGAAAACTATGTGTACGTGGGCTCATGGACTACGATCGCAGGATTGCCTGATGCCAACACTCATTGAAGCTTAATAAATTGTTACTTTTTATTATAAATTAATTTTAATAGATGTATTATATTAACATGTACTCATTTTATGACAGATTAAAAAAAATTTTACTATATCAATAAGCAGCAAAAAGGATCGAGTAACAGGGAATTCGCAAAATTGCATAGACATAAACTTTAATACAGTAGCACATATTTGTCTAGAGCAGCAAATTTTCAAAACATCGCCTGATCTGGCTGCACTGATTACACATATTCGTAACCCTATACATACCTGTCCGTAACCCTAATTAATAGTTAAAACTAAAAATGCAGTGTTTTTCGCTGTCTGACAGAAATACACTATAAAAATATTCTGATGATCGAATAGAATACTCAAATGAAAATTTTAATCATCATTATTGGAAAGTTAAATAAAAGAGCTTTGTTACTTGAACAGTTTTAAAACTAGGAGTATAAGATATAGTATTTTATTTCCGTGATAGTTTCAGACGTTGTGTTAAAGTTTAAAACATTGAAAAATTGAATGAGGTCAGCATATAAAAGTCCACTGAGAATGCTTGGTTGTGCTCCAGTTTGAAAGTCTGCCTTATATTCTAAAAAAAAAAAAAAAAAAAAAAAAAAAAATGTCTAAATCAACTAAAATGGAAACAATATGCTACTTATATGTTGTACCTTAATGATTATGATGCTGAAAAGTTTAAATATAATACGTTTTCAACAGTGTTCTCAGTAATTTAGTCATTTTCATGAAAATAACATCAAAACTGTTCAGTGCTGAAATGTTTTCATTCCAACAAGGCATCAAACGTAAGGCTGAAAAAACTGAACGTAACTGAAAAAAATCAGCGAATTCCTCCCGAAATTGTTCAACGACTTCAAAATTACTGTATAAGAATTTGCTTTAACACTAGAGAAAAAAATCATGCCACGTTTATATGTCTCTATTATAAAATCACACAGATTTACGTTTGCTTACACAGTAGACACTCGTTTAACCTGATAATAACCGGGAAAGAAACCGCGGTTAACCCAAGATCACGGTTAATCCAACGCAACTAAAAAAACACATGGAGAAAGGAAATAACCTATTTTAAAATTAAGAGAAAAATACTACTGACCGTTTGAACACAAGAGTTCAATTCTAGTAAAAAAATCTAGTGGATACTAGTTCAAAAAATACTAGTGACAGTTTGAACACGACAGCCTAAGGGAATATCTTCGTGGAGAACATTCTAAGGGAAACTATCTCGTAATCACGTTACACACGAGAAAACCATGACAATCACCCATACCGCCAACCTGCTCGCCTGGGAGCGAACCGATAGGTCTAAATCCAAGCATTCAGCAGTCTTGTTTAACCTGGTATTAACCCGGAAAGGGACCGCAGTTAACCCACGATCACGGTTAATCCAACGCAGCTAAAAAGAAACACATTAAGAAAGTAAATAACCTATTTTTTAATTAAAGAGAAAAATACTACTAACAGTTTGAACACGAGAGTTCAATTCTAGTTAAAAATACTAGTGAATACTAGTTCAAACTTACTAGTGACAGTTTGAACACGACAGCCTAAGGCAATACCTTCGTGGAGACTTCTAAGGGAAACTATCTCGAAATCACGTTACACACGAGAAAACCACGACAATCAACCATACAGCCAACCTGCTCGCCTGGGAACGAGCAGGTTGGCTGTATGGTTGGTTGTCGATAGGTCTAACTCCAAGCATTCGCGCCTTGTCTGCTCGGCTACTGGCACAGCCGAGTCAAAGGAAAACGGAAGATTAATGGTTGTACAGTTAATTTTTATTTTTAAGATTTAGCAGTTTATTTTTAATGGATGATATAA